AGTTAGGGTCTAGCATGTTTGCCTGTCGTAATAACTGGGAAAAAAGAATTACTGTTGCAATTTTAAATAAAGCAAATAAAGCTTACTAAGAGAAGAGAGTGTACCCAAATGTTGGACAAGGCAGGTTTCTTCGATGATAATTTTGGTATCAAATAAAACCTAATTCAGAAAGTGGCAGCCCAGTTCTTTCTCATGTCTAACCTCACTCCCAAACTTAACGAAAGTTTCCTTTCCTTTGATGCAGGTGCACATAACTCACAAGTTATAGAACTGGTTATGATTAGGCCATGCTAGATTTGCAAATGGGAAAAAGAACATTTCCTGAAATAATTCCATTGCTTGCTTCTTCTTGCTTAAACAAACAAACAAACAACTCCCCAAAACCTGAGAACAGGGAGTGAATATCATCACCAGGTCCTGACTCTCTAAGTGCAGCCACATCACTGGACGGCTCCGTTTGGAGGGTTAAGATGGTAAGTGACACAGGCTTACAAAAGTCTGATAGCTTTTCTTTAAATTTTAAGTTAAAATTTTTGGTTACCTTTTAAGGTAATTAAAAATGAGGAAAAAAATTTTTTTTAATTTACCCTCATCTTAAATTCTGATGCTGTGCCTGAAGAACTTCCTTTAACATTTCTGACAGTGTAGATCACATGAAAAAGACTTTGTTTTGTCCTCATTGTTAAGGACAGTTTTGCTGGGTATAGAATTCTGAATTGACAGTGGGGTTTCCCTCCTTGCTGGCACTGTCACTCCCTTGTCCTCTGGCTTGTATAGTTGCTAACAAGTAGTGTGCTGTAATAATTATCTTCATCTCTTGGTATGTGTCTTTCTCACCTCTGGCTGCAATTAGGACTTTCTCTTTCTCTTTGGTTTTGGCAATTTGACAAGAACGTATCTAAGAATGTGTGTGGTGAGCGTGTTTTTCTTACTTAGTTACCTCTAAGATTATTGAATCTGCAGCAGTTTGCTTTTCATCCATTTTGGAAAATTCTTGGCCTTTATTTCTTGAAATATTTTTGTTCTTTCTCTCTTTATCTCTCTTCAATTACCTTGATGCTAAATTGTTTGATATTGTCCCTTAGCTCTCGGGTGCTCTATCATTTCTTTTTTTTTTTTTCTGTTTTTCATTTTGCATATCTTCAAGTTCACTGATTTTTTCCCCCTCAGCTGTGTCTGCTCTGTTGCAAAACCATGAAAAGAAGTCCACATCAGACTCTTTATTTCTAGCATTTCCGTCTGGCTCATTTGTACAGTTTCCTGCTGTTTGCTGAAATAGCTCTTCTATTCTTGCAGGTTGTCCACCTTTTCCACTAGAACCTCTGACATGTTCACCATTGTTATTAAGATAACTGAGAGCCCCTACATCTAGGTCATCTCTGATTGCTGCATCTCTCAACAATCCACTGTCAGTAGGTCCACTTTTTTGGGGGGGTGTATGTGTCTAGTGATTTTTTATTATGTCAGAGATTGTGTGTAGAAAAATAGTAGCTCCTGAGGTTAATATAATTACCCAGAAACAAACATGTGCAGTGAGGTTATTAGCTGGGGAGGGGTGAGGAAGAAACGGAACAATGGAACCAGAAAATGAGCTGGGTTTGGGTATGTTGTTCCCTCATGACCCTCATGTTCCCTCATGAGCTGGTCAGGGGTCCATGTTCCCTCATGACCACAGGCTGCCATTTCCTTCAGCAG